CTGGCAGCACCTTGTGCCGTATGGACAGGAGCAGGCGGGAGATGGAGGGATGCGACTGTCCCCCTCTGCTCGGCACTTGTTAGACCTCATCTGGATATGGCCTCCTGTTTAGGGGCCCTGGTATGGGAAAGACATGGACAGAACGGCAACTTTGAGGGAGGTCAGGTCAGGAGCAGTGGCCCTGGGGCTTGCTCAGCCCAGGGAAGGGGTGGCTGGCAGGGGGGGCTTGTAGCAGCCCCCCACAACTTATGTCTGAGAGGATGGAGCTGGGCTCTTTGCAGAGATGCACGGTGGGGGAATGAGAGACAGGGCATAAACTGAAGGGAGGGATATAACCGGCTGGATATGAAGAAGAAAAAAAATCACTCTAAGGCTATTTAATCATTTGAAGGAATTTCGCAGTGACACTGTGGAATCTCCATCCTTGGGAGCTTTCAAGACTTGATGGCATAAAGCCAGAGACAACACGGTCTGAGTCACTTTGAGTTATAAGGTTTGGCTAGACGATATTCCGGTCCTACCAGAATAATTTTATGATTAAGCATTTTCTCTCATGGTTTATGACACATAATAATCCTGCCAACTAGTGCATTTACATTACATTTTTACAATCCATTTTTAAAGCATAATCCAAATTTGTTTTGGCAAATGCTTGGTCTTTCATCTTTTGCATCATGTCCCATTTTTCTGTTCATTAAAATTATTTCAAAACATATTCTACGCTTCTGAGTTTTGAATGAAATTCTGTTCAATCTATTTTTAAACATCCTTTATTGTGTTAACTTAATCTGTAGAACTGTATTGCCAGTGAAACATGCTGTTGTAAATCATTACATAAACATGTAACCTCTTTTCCATGCATTATGCTGAAACATTTCCCAGTAGCAGCGTAAAGATTTTATTTTGCTGTTACAGGAGAAAATAGAACCAAAACCTTGCCGTTTGAAGAAAGGAGAACGCTGATTTCTGCCTTCACAGCAAGGTGATACTGCCCAGAGCTCCTCTTTTTCCTTGAAACCTAGTCCTATGATTAAGCAAAAACCCCATAACCGAATCCACCACATAACAAAGGCACCGCCAAAAATTAATAAGCTAATCGGCAGCGTGACTTAGAAGCCCATTCCCCTGCGGATAGGTCTCCGATACGTTTGAGGGCAAGAGGGATGGTGGAGGAGGCCAGGAGAGCTCGCAGCTGGGGCTCCCCGCCGCAGCCCACGCCCAGCCCTGGCACTGCTTGTGCAGCGCTGGCTCCGTGCCGCTCCCTGCCACATGCCCGCAGCCAGAGCTCCGAAAAAAGGCCCTCTGGGCCACTGCTGCAGGAGGAAGTAGGCAGAAGGGCTGGCTCTAATGAACACTGTGACTGCTGTTCGGTCGGACCCACAGACTAAGGTAAGGCAGTTTGAAACCCACCGAAACTGCCAGGAACTGAGAGCAGCTGATCGAGGCAGCAGTCAAAATGAGAGGGAGTGAGAAATAAGGGCTGATCCCGCCTCAGAGTTGCAAAGCCCCTGACCGGACAAAACAAGGTGATTTTGCTTAACAGCTTAGAGCCTACAAAAACACAAAAATAAGGGCAGGAGAGCGCAGACAGCAGAAGAGGGAGCATCCTGGCTCAGTAACATCGAGAAAACAGCGCAAGGACCTGCAAAATGCCTCGAGACCTCGACTGCCCAGAAGCAGTGCATAACACTGATGAATAACACCGTGTGTCACTTCGCTTTCTTGTCGCCCATGTTCAGCAACCTCAGCCGTACCCTGCAGCCTCTGACAGCAAAGGCACAGCCCAGGTCAGCGGTGGCGTGGCTTGCCACCCTGGCTGGGCTGGAAAGTCTTGCTGTGAGGTGGAAAAAGTATTCCCTCTCCTGTGGAGGGGGCCGTCACCCACTTGTTTTTTGCATGAAGGGATGAAGAGGCTGAAAGGGTCCCCCGGGTGGCACGAGGTCAGCATCCCTGGCAGGCAGCCCCGGTGGGAGTGAGCAGCTTGCCTGGTCTCTTCTCAACTTGTCTGGTTTCATCCGACGTGCGAGTCAGCTTGACTCAGTGAGCTGACTTTTGGGGGGAGGAAAGGAGGGTTGTTGCTCATGGGCAATATTTCCAAGTATCGCTCCCATTTGCCCCGTCACCCCACCACACAGTACAGCCAAGCAAGGAGGCGACCAGCTGTGCTCGTGAGGAGTTTCATTTCTGCGCTCCACTAAACAGCAGGAGGAAAGCTGACTGACATATAAGGAAATGGAAGGAAAAAAAACAATGCATTGCATAATTATTTCCAGAGCTTTCATGAAGCGAGCCCTTTTTCATATTAGAATTGGTTTCATTTCTGCTGATCCTTGTCACAGTGTGTAGGTGGAGCCTGTAAATAAAAAAGGACCAAAAGCTGGAAGAAAGTTACTGCTTCTCCTTGCTACGGGACACTGCACAGGTAGAATGTTCTCTTTTCCTTCTTCTAAAAATAATCATGCAATTTTTGACTGTTATCTTCATGCCTTTTAATACTTGCATGTGAGAAGACTGCATAAGGGTAAGTGTGGTTAAACAAGTTTGCCAGGAGTAGGATTTGTTGTTTTCTGGGTTGGGGAAAAAGAAAAGACATTAGTATTATTTCCTCTTTAAAGGAAGATGACTGAGAGATGGCATTTAAATTGGAACACATTTTTTAAAGTATGTGCTCTGTGGGGGCAGTGTTTAGCAACACAGTCTAGCCGGCAGTATTCATGTGTAGCATCATAAGCTTTGCATTGCTTCATTTTTTTCTGAGAAGACAACTAGATTTAATAAACGTACAACCCAAAGACTGTGTAGTTTACCCAGTTAGCCTGTGTATCTGTGTGTACACACTGTGATCTGCACTTGCAGACCTAGCTAAAAAAACCTTCCAGGTATGTGGTAAGATATAGCCCTTGCACTAAAATATTTCAAAATTCTCACTTTTTTTGTCAGACTCCTTAAGCCTCAGTTTCCCAGATGTCACAAGTTTATCTTGCAAGATATTTTTTTTTTCCTTTTGTTTTGTTTTTCCTGGTGGCCTTACTACACTATTTTTGCCTTTCATCCAATTCATTATAAGGGTGGCTAAAGCTTGCTGTGTAATTTCTTTCTGAAGGAAACACATCCCTGTTTAGGAGGCCATACGCTAAAACCAGTACATCAATAACTCTGAACACAACCCAATGAATATAAATAATAATGTAAAAGGGATGGAAAATTGTTCTTGGGTAATATTTACTTTAGATCAAAAATTTATAGGGAGCGTTCATTCCACTAAATTGAAAGGCAGGTAGAGAATGGGAGAGGCAATAAAAGGGATTGCTGTTAGAGACATTATTATCAGTAAACTTTCCTGTAGCAATAGAAAATCACAAAAGAATCTGGTGGCCAGTGAATGGGGAATGTATGTTTGTTGCAGATAAAGCACTGAGTCCTCATTCAAGGAAGAAAAATCTTATAATTCATTAATAGAAAGAGAAAAAAGGTTTTACTGAAATACTAAAGAAAGGGGACATGGGGAGAAAGATGAGGGAACTGTAAAATGTACACCTATAAAGAAATTAAAGTAGTTCAGTCATCTTTTATTGCTGGTCAAAATTGAGAAGTTTCCCTGTAGTAATTTATTTGTTATTTTGATAAAAAGAGTCAGGACTATTTATTTAAAAAAAAAATATTGCTTTATTAAAAAGAAAGACTGAATAACAAGTGTGGAATTAATCTGGGTTTTTTTTCTGAACTTGTTTTACACATTGAAAGTATAACTTACATTGTGTCTGATCATCCTGTTTTGACATCTGCTTAAATTAGAAAACCTATAAACTTAATTCAAGCAGAAAATTAAAAGAACACAAAGCTATTTCAAGCAAAAATTGTGTTTCTCCTAATTCATTTTCCCAAGTGTTTGAGTTAAACAGATCTTGATTTTGGCAGAGGGAGGTTAAAAAAAATCTAGCTTTGAAAAAATACTGTTGGGGTTTTTTCTTTAAATCATTCTCTCTGGAAATCACTTTTCCTGGAAAACATCACATCAAAAGCCTGCAGTTTCTTCAGTCATCCATAGAAAATATCTCAACAAAACTTTTACGTAAAGAAAAGCTGAACAAGAAAATAAAAAGTCTCCTAGTTCTCCCTTCTCTCACATCATGTCAAGCAAAATCTTCTTTTCAGAGAGGGTTTTAAGCTATAGAGGGGGGGACTGAGATACTGAGCTTCTCAAACAGCTGTAAGACTTGCCTCTGACAAGTGTTTCTACTGCAGGAGAGGCGGGTTGGCCACATAGCAGACTATGGCTTGGCGTGTCCTACTCTCCTTGCTGGTGGCCCACCCATGTAGACCTTCCGTGTGCAGCCACGCAGCCCTGTACTCCTGACCCTAGGTGACTGAAGAGAAGCATTCACACACTGTCTCCAACCATGTCACGCAGCTACCTTACTGACTGAGCTTCTCAAAATACCTTTCAGCAAAATACTTCATTGAGGAAAAGTGGCTTTTTGCAAAAACTGGTGTAACTTTTTTTCCCCCTGAAAAAAAAAAAATATTCTTGTTTACTCTGTGGCAACTTCTTTTTTTGAAACACAAAGAAAGCATAAGGGAGGTCGGGTATCTTCTGGAGAGCAATTTTAGTGATTTGAAAAGAGCTGTCACACTTGATATCTACTGAGGGTTTGAATCAGTAAATAAAAGTGGTGTTGGATATTCTCTGCTATGATCACTGTTGCAAGCTGGAGTCACTCAGTGCCCCATGTTTGATTTCAGAAGCTGTACGAAAGAGTGGTTGGACCAGACAATAATCGCTGTTTAGTGAAACACTTATGGACAACACACGTCATAGGCCAAAAAATCAGCAGGCCATGGATAATAACAGGGCAGCGTATAAACAAGTTTCTGGAAGAACCAAACTTGCCTTGAAGAACGATGTTTTTTCACCACCTCTCCCACCACCATCTTTAGACTCTTTTACAGTACCTCTTCCACCATCCTTAGACGATGAAGATGATCTGCTATTGGAGAACATGACTGATGGAAAGCCTAACCATGAGCAGAAGGAGTTGAAGGAACAGTATTACAGAAAACAGGACAAGGTAAGACAGATACCAGAAGAGGGCATAGATCCTCCCAACTCTTAGTCCTGTGTTTCACTTTGTGCCCCAAAATGAATTCCCTTGTCTCTTTGGGCAATCTGCACTTGTTAGGTCTAAGCAGAGGAATACTTTGGGGATCAGGGCCAAGCAGTCATTTGTGTAACTAGGAAGACAGGTACCTGCAATTAATCTGCAGGCATAAAATATGCAGGTGTAAAAAACAGGATGGCAGCAGCCTAGCAGTCAATTTAATGCATAAAGTGTATCTGTCTCATTGGTAACAATTAGCAAACGTTGAACAGAAATCCTAAAATCTGAAATATTTTTTACTTGAGGCTCTGCTACCTTCAACAGAAATACAAAGGAAGGTTAATAATAACATGTGTTGATTATTTGATGCCTAAAACAGATTGGTTTTAAGTCTGTGTCATAGTTAATGAAGTTCTTGAGAATGGTTAGGATTTACTAGCTAGTAAACATCGTAATGAATATAGTGGGGAGAGGTTACCAATAAGGTTTTAAAATACCTGCCTCCAGTAATGTGTGCTGTCTTTCTCAACTTGAAAGAAAAATCTGCTCTGTTTGATTACATCTGATTGATAGACGTATTTTCAGAGGTGGCTTTCATAGACAAAGATGATGGTGGGCAACTTCAATTTTTCTTTTAAAAACATCAGGTATGAATGTTCCTGGCCTGTTAAGGTCTGTAAAATATTGGTGTTCTCAGAACTGCATTTCTAAATACAGCAGTCAGACTGGAACATGGAAAGAGGAACAGGGAGAAGAGACCAAGCTGATCTTTATAAATTTCAGCTGGGCATATTTAAAAGCAGGTGGACCAGTTTTGTAAAGGGCTGGAAATTACTTGGTTTGTTTTCATGAAAATTAAGAGCCTATGTTAATATCTGGCACAAGTATCAAAACCAAAAAATGACGATAATCAGCAATTTAAAACAAACCACTCATTTTCATCCCTTACCCTAGCCTAAAATGAGGCAAAGAAAGAAGAGCGATGATGACCTAGAAGATTTTAGCCACCTGTTAAGGACACTACAGCAGAACGCCTTTGGTGTCTGTGCACAAACTAAATCTTCAAACTTCAAAACAAAGATTTAATAAGCTATTCTGTACTAAATTCTCTTATTACTGGGACTACTCTTGATTTGCATACACATACTTCGGTACCTCCATAGATGAGTGGAAGAAAATGGCAGTTAAAAAAAAATTAACTAAGCACACTTTAGTAGTGAGGTGTCCTCTTACTCTTTACCTTCTCAGGATACCTTACAAAGTTTGGTATTTTTACTAAGGATGGTCACTGAGCTAACCTCGACTGATTTTGTTGTATTTACAGACACCTGTCTGTAACATGGAGGTGCAAGGATGCACAGTGATATGAAGTACAGCTTGATGCCGGTACATAAGGTTTACTAGAGAATGATGAGCTGGAAAAGATGCCTAAAAGGGTAGTTTTTCTGTGGCAACAACTTATTTTAAAATTATAGAAAATTCACTGTAAGTTTAACTCTAGCAGGTAGCAGAACATTCCTTGTACAACCAATACGAGGAAAAGATCCGACCCTGCATTGATCTCATCGACAGCCTAAGAGCTCTCGGAATAGAAAAAGACCTGGCTTTGCCCGCGATCGCAGTGATCGGAGACCAGAGCTCTGGGAAAAGCTCCGTCCTAGAAGCCCTGTCTGGTGTTGCTCTTCCTAGGGGCAATGGTAAGAATTCACCTGCTCAGGTTTTCACCTGAATTTCACTTTGATGAGGTGGCAGGGATTTTTTTTTTTTTTCCTCCTCACCCCTTTTTTTGGTCCGGTATTGGATAACTCCATAACTGAGACTATATCTAAATTGTGAGACTCCAGGGGCCTTCTCAGCTCTGGTTTCCAGTAGAAGAAATGCATGTGCAGGTGGGTCACTGTAGGGTAACTCCAACAAAGCACATGTTCTGGGTGGTGAAGAGACCAGGAGTAAGAGCATAGTGTAGCATACTTGCCCCAAACTGTGGACAGACTGAAAGGTAGCATCAGCTGACTCTGTGCATTTCCCAGCAAAGAGTAGTGCAGCAGAGTATTGGTTTCACATGGAAGACTAGTTTTGAAATTTTGGGGTTGGTTTGGGGTCTTTTAACAAGATTTTCTTACAGATACCTTTGGCAGAAAATGTACAAAAATCTTTACTTACAAACATGTGCCTTGATGTTATTTATGTCAGAGAAGATTGTTGGAAGACTTTGCAGCTCAAGAAGATTCACTTTCCGGCTTTGTGTGTGTGTGTATACACACACACATAAGTTCTGCAAGTTCTGTATGAGTTGACAATACCATCTAGTCTTTCAGGCTGGACTTGAGGAAAAGGTTTTCATAGGATGTAGGTGCAGCACTGAAATGGGTCACCCAGAGAGGTGCGAATCTCCATCCTTGGAGGTCTGCAAGACAAGACATGGCTGGACAGAGAGCCATGGCTGACCTCACCTAGTGCCAGTGCCAGTCCTACTCTGAGGGGGAAGCTGGGCAAGAGTGCTTTAGCAATGTCTCTTGGAACATTTCTGTGTCTCTGTGCAAAGTATTAGGCAACCCTGTGTACATCACGCAGTCCATGGCTGCGTATCATGCATAGGAAATGCTGACAGAGTTACCTCTGTCTTTGGAACTGCTGCAGGTATTGTTACTCGATGTCCCTTGGAACTTAAACTGAAAAGAACACCTGCGACCCAGGCATGGAAAGGGAAAATTTGTTACCGCGACATCAGCATAAATCTCCACAATGCCTCTGAGGTGGAGACAGCAATAAAAGAAGGTGAGTTGTAATGTATTCCCCTCTGATTTGGCTTGCTCGATTTCTTCTGAATCCTTTCTCCCCTTTTCTTAGGCTGAGCAGCAGTCCCCAGACTAACACAGTGATTGTAGCCATGAGTAACACCAAGAGCTGAATTCAGAGCAGAATAAGGTGGGGTAGCATAATGTAACTCTCTCAAGAGGGTTGTACTACTTACTACTTCAGTGGTGAAGATGATCCGTGATGTCCAATAAAAGCTCAGGCTGTGTCCTGAGCTAGATGCTGTCTGCTTGGTTTGGGGAGGTTGTCAAATTGTAAACATGCAAAACCCTAAAAGGTTCCCATCATCAATTCAAAAGCTCCGAGAATGCTTGAGGTGTCTGTGGCTGGAAATCTTATGATTTTGGAGAAAATGGCAAGAAGGCAGAGTAGAGAACATATGGAGCTTCTGCCAGCTACTGTGACCACAGCCTCAATTATTGCCTTTCCCATGTAACAGCTTTACTTTTATAGTATTTCCTGCTGTGCAAGAAAACATTTTTCTTACCCAAAGGGCAGTAAGCACTTGCCCTAAATGTGAAAGTTGGATTGTCTTTATTTCCTTGACTAACACAGTTCTGCAAGATTGTTATTTGTCCTAATGTTTTTTCATTAGCTTTTCAATATATTAGTTGGATATTTTCAATATTTCCTTCCAAAACTGGCAAGGCAAGAGGTATGAATTGATTAAGCTAATTACAGAGCTGAAAATCTCTCACGAGAATGACTACAGGGTTTTCTTGCTTCTCCGTGCTGTTCACAGCTCAAGCATTATTGCCTCATAAGATCTGGGACAAATGACTTGATCTCTCAAACTCTCTATCAAAATGTGAAAAATATAGAATAACACCTATTTATCTTCCAAGGCAGCCAGGGATTAATTAATGCCTACAAATTGTCTTGATGTTGAGGAAGCATTTCTACAACTGACCAGTATTTTATCCGATCACTTTGTGGCTTATTTGCATGTATTTTGTCTGCATATATGAGAGTTCATAAGTATATGCTCTGTAAAATATTACAGTTCACATTCCAAAAGGATGCCACGTATCCATGTGTTGCATAATAATTTCCTTAAATTTTTCAAAGTCCTTGGACTTTTCAAAGTCATTGTGTACAACTTCACTTTGATGCATTGTTTGAAACTTGTATTCATTGCCTTGCTCTTTTCTCCTTGCAGCCCAGAATATTGTGGCTGGTATTAGAGGTGCCATTAGTGGAGAACTAATTTCCCTAGAAATTTGGTCCCCAGACGTCCCAGATCTGACACTAATTGATCTTCCTGGAATTGCCAGAGTGGCCGTGGGGGATCAGCCAAAAGACATAGGGCAACAGGTAAAACTCAGTCTTATATGCCAACCTGTGCATGGGGTCAATTCTGTAACCTACTTCATACGCGAGCCTTTGCTGTAGGATGCTGGAGTTGCTATGCTGGGCTTCTGAGCCAGCAATAGAGCTACGCTAACAAACAGGCCTATTTTTCAGGCAAGGAATTGCTGATAGGAAGAGTGAGGTCCACAATCTCCTGTCTGCCCTGTTGTGCAGGAGGCAGCTGCCCATGCTAGCCATGAAGGAGCCACCTCAGGTGCTTTGACACAGCCTACCCAAGGCAGCACGGAATAACCTGGCTGTGTGGACCCTGAAAACAGTGCTGCCTCCGTGTCCCTTGGCTAGACCACAGTCTGGAAGATAGATACATCCCAAAATGAGTTGTCTCTTGCCAGCTCTGTGGATGTATTTGGCAAAGGTGAACAGATCTGAGTTCTTGTAAGCTTTTCTGGAGCAAGGCAGCAAATTGGTCCTCCTACAGGTTCATTGCTCTGTCATCCCTTACTTACAGTGTACATCAGAATGAGACCCATCCTGGTTTTTCTCATCCCTTAAGGGATCCCAGCAGACCCTTTTTGAAGTAAACAGAATATGCATTAAAGTGGAGGCGTTCTCTGTTCTTCCTCTGGCTGCTTTTAGAAGAAATGCTGGAGAATGCAAATAAAACTCTAGTTGGGCAAGGCCAGCTGTGAGGGTGATGTGCAGCAGCTGCATGTATCATTTCTCCTAAAATACCTTTAAATAGGAACTTGGAATAAGAGTAGCCCAATCTAAACTAGACATCTCAACAAAAATAAGACACGATTGGATTGTCTGGGCTTTACTCTCTAGGAGAAGAGTAATTTCATTTCACAATTAGATAGTAATCTTTTGATTGTATTCAGAAGAAAGCAGTAGGTGTGACATGATCCACATATTTTCACCATCCCCAGCTGCCTGCATGCTTCAGAGATGGAGGCTATAGCATTGTAGCATGTCAGGAACTGGGATGGATGGGAACTAGAAAAGGGAGGCCCCTTTACCAAAACTCAGAAAAAAAAAAGTTGACTGACTTTGGTATAAGTACAACAGAGCTGTGTGAACCTTTTGCAATACAACACAAACTATGAGAAATTCTTTTAGTTTGGCATTGAAACATAGAAAAAAATGCCAACTAGATGTCATGTGTGACTTGGGTTTTTTTCACAAATACTGCACTGAAATAAAAGCCAAAGACATTTGCTCTCCTTTCAGAGATACAAATTTGAGATTTATCAGCATAATCTAGCTTGCTTTCTTTCCATAAGTGTATCTAGACATCAGAACTTGGTTTTCGTACATCATGTGATTATTTATGAAACATCTTTAATATTTCCATAATGAAATATTATATGCATGAGAGGTTAAACTTTACATAGCTTTCAGGACAGGCATAACAACAATCTGGTCTCATTCATGCTAGATGTTTGGATTAATCTTGACATATGGAAAGAGGCTGCATTCTTCTGCTGACCCATTTCCATGCCATTCTTTAGCATGTAATACTATCCTCAGTATATGTGACACTTAATGTCATCAGTGGCTCATATTGCTAGAAATGGTCACATCCTACATGCAAGCATCTGATTTCACTGAGCTTCATTACTGCTGTATTGCATTGCAGATCAAAATGCTACTTAAGAAAGTTATTGGCTGCAGAGAGACACTCAATTTGGTAGTGGTGCCATGTAATGTGGATATTGCAACAACAGAAGCACTGAAAATGGCTCAAGAGGTGGACCCCAGTGGAGAAAGGACACTAGGTGAGACAATTTTTAAGCTACAAGTTGAAGAGAAATGCAAATCTTTTTTTACATGAAGGTCTGATTTTCTGTATTCCACACCAGATCTGTGAAATTAGCTCCTAGAAGAAGGAAAAAAAAGAAAACAGCCTAAATAAACTATTTACAAAACTTGAGATGATCCAGTATCTCTAAGAATCCCTCAGTTTTGAGTCTTGCTGGCATTCATGTTATGAATAGTTGGAAATTGAAAATCTCAGAGTTAATTGCAGGAAAGCTTTGTTGCTGCCTGTTAAAAAAGGTTTGCAATGCAGAAGGTGTGGTGGGAGGCCAACTGTAGAGCAAGTTTTACAGTGCAAAGCCCAGGAGCTGAGAGATTTCTAGGAGAGAGAAAACAAAATGAAGAGAAGTTGCTTTATAAAACACGGTACAGAGTGTTCCCACTTTGGTGGCAGGGTGTTCTACTGCAGCTCTCCCACCTTTAACTTCTGCACTCGACTAACTTTCTCTTTGGGTAACTTCACAGGGATCCTCACAAAACCTGACCTGGTGGACAGAGGAACCGAAGAGTCTATCGTTAACATAATACGAAACCTGGTCATCCCCCTCAAAAAAGGTTACATGATTGTGAAGTGTCGTGGGCAGCAGGACATCCACAACAAACTGTCCTTGGCTGCTGCAATCCAGCAAGAGAGAAAATTCTTCGAGACTCACAGACATTTCAGGTACTTCTCACAGAAAGGACCTAATTGAAAACATATTAAAGTCACTTCAAAGCTTCCTGTTGACTTGCTGATATTTAAATTAGGGTTACAAACAGGTGTTAATTATGCTCGCTATTTCTCATTGCCCATGTAGTGCTGCATTCCAGTAAGCCAGAAGAATTTTACATGTCAAATAAACTTTTAAAATGTATTTCAGATGCAAGTTTGGTATATATCTCTCCTTAACCCTGGGAGAAGTGCAATGAACTTCAGAAGTTCAGAATAGTCCCAAAGAATTCAAGTTAAGCATCTGAGCACTTTAAGCCAAGCACTGAAGTATTTCTGTTCGCTGGAAAACACGGTGAAACTCAGCATGAGAAAGGATACTGCCTGTGCTGAGGGCACAGATTTCCCCAGAAGATGACTCAGCAGCAAATCAGTCATAATACAGAGAATGGCAGGTGAAAAGGGTTTTGAATCTGTACTTCACACATGCAGAAATAATACAGCAGCACATTAGTCTGCTGTTAGAATTTGCTATTTTCAGATTCTTCTCTGTTTCCCTTTGCTTAGCCAGTAGCAGTATCCGTCAAGAAACTCTTGCATAAAAGCCATGGTGCCCAGAGAGTCCTGGGCTGCTGCCGCACCTGTACTAGCACTCTCCAGAGGGCCCTTTCTTTACTCAATTTGTATAGTAGAACTAGCAAAAATAGAGCAGCGCATCAGTACTCTCTCTCTCCTTGCCCTGCACACATGGTCTATCTGAAACCACCTTTTCCTCTTTTTTGCAGCATTCTTTTGGAAGAAAGAAGGGCTACTATTCCTCATCTGGCAGAGAAGCTCACAAATGAACTTGTGAGACATATTCTTGTAAGTAACAGAGGTGCCATACTAACCTGTTTGTATCAGTTACTATCTAAAAATAAGTTCAGCCCTTCAACCTTGGATTGCAATTGATTGCAATTGGATTGCATCTTTATATGCATAGAGAGTACTTAATTATCCTTCAATCCAGCAATCTGAGAACAAATTGAACTGAGAGTTAGAGGTAAAGAAACACATGTTCTGTCCTCAGATTTGCCTTTAAGCTGAAGATTGACAATAGGCAAATCATTTCAACTATTTGTGACTCATAACTCCTGTCTTTTCAATGTCAGCTATATGTCTTTTTGTTTGTGAAGTGTTGATCAGCTGGGTGACAAGTTACTGCTATGAGCTTACTGAAACACAATTATTTCTATTTAACTGAAAATGTCTTCAAAATCCCAAGTAAGATCTAATTGGTTTATTAGATTACTATATTAATATAAGCAAACTGGTTTTTAAATTTTATATACATATATCTGTAAGTAATATATCTTATTGCATTAAGGAAAAATGCTAAAATACAGGGAACCTCTAAATTCAGTCCTGAAGGAGAAAAAAATATGTATTTATGTAATCTTACATAAAATAAGCAACTAAACCGCTGTGTTCAGTCAGGTATTTATCAGGAATGGCAGGGTCAGTACATTCCCTGCATCACCGCCTTCCCTGGTGCAACCTGTGAGGACATATTTTTTGGCTTACTGTAGGTGAAATGTTGCCCTAGACTGCAGCTATTCTGCCCATCTTGCAGTGAGGTCCAGCCTGATTTCTCAGGGATATCCTAGCCCCCTGCCTTCTCTCAATGAAAGCCATGTTTGCATTTCCATGCTATCCCACTATCACGCATGGGCTGCAAGGACCGCAAGCTCTTGGACTGCTAAGAGCAGCAAAGATCAAGTGTAGGTCACTCTTAGAGGGATTTTTGTTTTCCTTCCAAAACCAGACATGTTCAACCTACCTAAATGTCCTTCATTACTGTCTACCCCCCAGAAAACTGTGCCAACACTAGAGAGCCAAATACGCGAGGTGCTCCAAAGAACGTTACAGGATCTACAAAGGTATAGAAGAGGTACACCCAGAATAGAGTCTGAGAAGCTGATTTTCCTCACAGATGTAAGTATCAATATTGGTTTGGTCATGGAGCAGAGCGAGGAGGTGAATGTGGGAGAAAAAGAAACCTCCTAAAGTTAGCAAACTGTTGGCATGGACCACCAGGAAGCTTGTGTTATCTGTCACTGTAGTGTTTTGAGAGTATCATAGACAAACCTCTGGCAGGAATACATCATACCTGCAAAAATAGTGGACCACAGGAGCTCATGGCACCTCCTAGCAATTTTTTTCCTGTCATTATGTGACAAGAGAACTGAACAACAACTCAGTTGAATGGTCAAAATCAAGCATCTCAGAGAGGGAAAACTTATACTCCTGCCTGCCCGACATTTTGAAGGGTTTCCACTGTTTACAGCACTCATAAGATCAAATACATTCCTGATATCAAAATGCGGTTTGCAAGTTCATGTAAGTGTCTTGGCTTGGGGAGTTAATCCCTCACAGTAAGCTTTCGGCAGGCTAGCAGAGGTGCTTATGAAGGCTCATCAGTCTTCAAAGACTTCACACAAGTCTGGTCAATTAGAACTTAATAAATGGTTCTGAGAGTCCACAGGAAAAAAAAAAATCAAAAAAAGAATATCAAGTTTGTTCTCCTCTAGGTGTGTTAGTTTTGGGAAAAAAAAAAAAAGCCAAAAAACAAACCCAGGAGCTAAGAGCATAAAAGATGTAAGGAAGCGATGTTTTCAAGGAACCATGTCCCTGCTTTAACATCAAATGACTGCAGATTTACTTAAAATATGCAAGCTAGTCTGAAGAAATGAAACTTTACTACACTGCTTGCTTGTTCTTCAATTCATTACAGATGATCAAACTCTTTAATCATGACATCTCTCAAACAATGTGTGGAGAGGAACAGTTGTTTGGAAATGAAGTCAGACTGTTTTCAAAGATCCGCAGAGAGTTTCAAACATGGGCAGTGATTCTCCAAGACTGTGCGACAAACGGTAAGCATAGAAACCCATCACTTGCAGCTGATCTGACACTCCATTGCCTTGCTTTCAAATCAAGACACAGCATCATCAACGGGTTGTTTTCAAGAAAGTGAAAAACAAGAAGCTAGGAGTGTTCATCTCTTGTAGTGTTAGGCAAGTTACGCTTTGGTCCTTGGGGACAAAGACCCAGCTTGCATTAAATGCTGTCATTACGGAGGTATCAGTGGGTGTCTCTTCTCCCAGCAAAGCAATAATACCAAGACTGTGGACCCTGGCACAGAATTGGTTGGTGATTCTCTGAACCATTCTGCTAAATAACAGCAACAAAACCAACACCAACATTAAAAATTTAGTAGTAGTAGTAATAATAATAATAGAATTAGAACAAATTTATTATATATTTGTTTATTATTATTA